TGAATTAACAAAGTTCTGTTCAGTTATGAGACTGCTTATGTTTCGGCTGTTCCTTTCATATATTCCAAAGGGCAGAAAAGTAATTGAGGAAAACAGTTTCCTGAAAAGAAGTACAGCGGTATGGTATGTTCAATCCTATCAAAAGATAAACTGAATCCAAAATTTACCTGATGAAACACTGAAGAAAACATTTTCTAGCCTAAATGTTTAAACCCAGGCTGTCAGAGATAATTAGAATTTGCAACTTCTGTTAACTAGAGAATCAAGCCTAGGATAATTCTGAACAGTAATTCTAGTAAAATCAAACCGTTTTTAATTTGTTGATTAACAGATACATCTACAAACAGAGAGGACTACTACAATTTTATTTTTGTCCTTGGCGATTAAATCCTGATTCAGCTTTAGTATAGCACCTTATTTAAAAAAAAAAAAAATCGGAGAAGAAACTCAAGATTGAGATTTATAACCCCTATGCCTTTTATTTCTTGCTGTGTTCAGCTGAATTCCAAGGGCATTCTTGAGTACATATCACATAGTGCTTAATAGTGAGTATGTTTGTGTTGAAGAGAACAGTGGCAAGCAGAATGATAATAGCTTATAATATTGCCAGTGTGTGACCAAGCCTGCTTAGTATTTGTCCTGAAAGGAATGCATACAGAAGTCCAGCCACATGGACTAAGATTAACATCTTGACTTAAGTGGTGTTAAATGATGCAGATAATAGGCATGGTCATTCAGTCCATTTCTGCAGAATATGTTCCTTGATGTATTTTTAAAAATTTTTTTTGATGAATTAGCTGCAGCATTTTGTAAACACTGTTGTGTATTTTAATATATACGGTGCAAAACTCTTATTTCCTTTTAAATTATTGGTTTTGTACATTTATCATGCTGCCTTTTGCTTGTCCTATCATTTACATACCTGTAAAGTTGTTCTTTTTCACATATTTTTCCTGTATCTGTCATCAGTAATGCAGGTGATTATTGGGGATTGCATATATTTCAATACATTTGTTATTTGTCATTTTCTGACCTGTCCTGTAGGCTGTGTGCTGTTAGGACGGGATTTATTGGTACTCTGGGGTGAAGATAAAAACCTAATTTTGTTAGTTACTATGTAACTGTTAGCAACATAGCATGTAATGATAATTACAGTAATAACAACAACAGAAACCACAATAATTAAATAGGAAAGAAAGAAAAAGACATAGTTCCAGATTCTGAGTAGGTATCAATCAGCTGATTTCCATCTCAGACTCTGATATGCGACATTTTAATAGTTAAGATTTGTTCATGGAAATCAATTTGCTAGGGTTACAGCACTTTACATGAGTATATGCTGCATGTATTCAGGATACTTTTGATGCACTGCGATGATAATGCTATAAAGCTAATTTTGTTCTGCTGTGGAATGAGTATTTTATATTGCATTGCTTTATGTGTGTAACAAATAAACTTATAAATGTATTAAAGCAGTAAAGTGAATTTATTCAGGGAATAAACTCCAGATGGGACACTTTTTCTTCTTTCTCAACTCCATTCTCCTGTTTGCAGTGTGGACATTAGCTCTATCATGGACATTGTCTCATGCTGAGAATGCATGTTACTTGAAGCTCTTAGTGCACAACTAGTACAAATAACTGCATGAAAATAGTGAACACAATAATACTCATGTAGGTAAACATAAAGTTTAGACTTGTATTTGAAAATAAATGAATGCAGAAGTCACTTCAGAGTCTACATAGGATTTCACTTCCACATTATATTTTGACCTGGCAGGAAGCACTGCCCAGGTTATGATGTACATTATGGCACATAGCATCTTGGGATTGCACAAGACATTTTGTGCAATTACAGGATAAAAGGAGGATTAACATGATTTGGGAAGGAGCAGGCATAGGAAAACAGGGACTAAGAAGATAAAGGGGCTTGTAAGGGTGGTTGTGGTTTGATACACTTGTCTGCTATATGTATCTTGTGCCTCATCAGAGCAGTCTGTCCTATCTCCTTATTAAACCCCATTTCTAACTCTTTCTAGGTAAAAGCCTCTCTGTTTGGTATGCATGTGTGTGTATGAAGGTATGAATGCAGCAACTGGAATGGGACCAGGACAACTGGAGTGAGTGAGGGTGCTTCAGCATCAGCAGGAGTCTCCACAAAGCAAATGGCTCAGATGGCCCAGGAGCTGGGCACATGTTTTGCTCTGTGCCTGCTGGGAATACATGCTCAGGCTCACTGCTGGCTGGAACTACGGGCATGGAGCTGCAGCATCCCTGCAGTATTGCTCCTGTAAAGCTGACAGACCTGGCAGCTCTCAGTCGAATTTCAACAAGATTACTGCAGGAATGAGATAATAAGAGAAAACTAAAATGGAAAACAATGTTGTATAGATAAAGGAGAGTATCTACCATAACTTCCATAAAGTAGCCTTTCTGGACACATAGAAACATAGATTACTGGTAATTTATTTACATTATGATATGAAATATCCTCAAGAAATCTGTTTCAGCCCTCCCACAAAGCTTCTGCAAGAACATCTCTTTGCAATCGCCCATTTCCGTTTCTTGCTGTGCCATGTTAGTCTTGGCTAGCAGCCAGACTCCCACCCAGCCATCCTCACTCCTCCTCTGCAACAGAACAGGAGAATATAGGATGAGAAAGCACGTGGGTTGAAGGAGGGACAGGGGGATAACTTACCACTTGCTGTCACAGGCAAGAAAGACTGAAACCAAGAAAAATTCCATTACTATAAATTGAAATTTTCAGAGTCCTCAGTCTCTCAGAGAGTGGACCTGTTAAAGCACAGCTGGGGGAGGGTCACAAAAATAATCCAAAGGATAGAGCACCTTTCCTAAAATGACAAGCTGAGAGAGGTTGGGATGTTCAGCCTGGAGAAGACTACAGGGAAACCTGACAGCAGCCTTTCAGTATCTGAAGAGGGGCTGTAAGAAAGAAGGCAACAGGCGCTTTAGCAGGGTTTGTTGTGACAGGACAGGGGGAAATGGTTTCAGACTAAAAGAAAGGAGATTAAATTGGATATAGGGAAAAACTTCTTACAATAATGGTAGTGAGGCACTAAAACAGGATGTCCTGAGAGGAGTCCTGGAGAAAGTCTGGATGTGGCTCTGAGCAGTCTGATCTAGCTGTAGGTGTTCCTGTTCAATGTTGGGAAGTTGGACTAGATGATCTTTAAAGGTCCTTTAAACAATTCTATGATTTCACAAAATTCATTCAGAGAAATGATGAGAAATGAATGAGAAAAAAATGACAAAAAAAAATCTCCTCTGTTTTTCCCAATCTCAGCATCATCCCTTCATACACACAACTGGTCTTTATAGCTTATTGAGAGCATGAGAAAGTAACAGTGTGCAATTCTAGAGCCATGAAAAAAAAAAACAAAACAAAAAAACAAAAAAAAAAAACAAAAAAAAAAAACAGGGTTTTAGAATAACAAAATAATTTGTGTATTTCTGTGCAAAGCAGTGTAGACACAGCACTTAAAATATTGGATGTAGAAAGAATGAGATTTTTCTTCTTATTATCAATTACCTTGAATGTGAGCTGTAATCTCAAGTCAGAAATTAATAGTTCTAGTAAAAGTCACAGCTGTAAAAGCTATTATTGGAAGGAGCCTGCAGTGTGACATGAAATAAATGAGTAGACGCAAAAGGCCTTGGCCCCAGCTTTCGTTTCTGTGGCTTTGTAGCCATGAGATGGTGCCATCCAACCAGCTCTGTCTGAATCTTTGTCCTCAGCGTTAGTGGGCCATGTCCAGTCAGACAGGGACAAATGCCAGGGACTTGCAAACCAAAGTGCGTCAACTTCACTTTGCTCCTTTGTGTCTCATTACCTCCACAAAACTCGGTAGCTTTAACTCCACGACACCTTTCTCCTGCCACCCCCTAAATAGCAACAAAATTAGAAAGTTACACTGTGATTTGTATTTTTTAATGGATTACATCCCAGCGAAGTGACTTAGTAAATGAAGATTTAAAAACAAGCAAATAAATCCTTTCTTAAACTTTTCTAATGTATGTGATTTTTCTGATAATAGATGAGCTTTAGGCTTGGTTGGACTGTTACGTTGTGGTTAACTAAATGTTTTGTGGTGCGTGCTGACTTTCCTGATGTTTACACCTTGATTTGGTTACAATTGTACCAGTTTATGTTCTGCACCTGAAGTTTTGGAGTCACCAATTGTGGCTTCTATAAGATTGTGACCAAGGAATGATGTGGCAATGAACAGAATACATAAACCTGTAATTACTTCATTGCTGATTTGTAATGGTTGTCATCATATCAGGATTAGGTGAAGGACTCTGTGATGTTTTGAAGCACGTCATCCCCTCCACTTCCTTCGAGGTTTAGGTTGCTGTAACTTTGCCAGTTGGGAACTTGCTTAATCAAGCACATGAAGCAACATTATATTATGTTCACTGCGAAGTAGGAAATCCCATACACGAGAATTGATGTCACCGAGACCTCCAGCCACGACTCTGACACACCAGGTTGGTTGCAAGGTAGGCATTGAATGTGAAGTTTAAGTATGGTAATGACAAGTGAGAGTCCACAGAACACTGCAGGGGGCTGTGATAACTGCGTACACAGCATGGCACATTTCACACAGCTCTCTGAGCAGATTCATGCCTTAAATAGTGTGGAAAGAGTTTTTTTTAGCTGGGACAATCTCAGCTAAAAGGTGAAGGACAGCAGTGCTTGCTGCAAGCACTATGGTGGGCAAATGGGGTGACAAGGACATCACACAGTAGATAGACAGAAGACAGCCTGAGGAAGCTATTTCATATCTGAATGCCAAAGGAAAGTGTCAGGACTGACAGACTCATAAACATCGTCATTTTGGAGTACAAATGGTGCCGGCGTTTCCAGCTTTTGCAGACACGGGCGGAGCTGAGGCCACGCTGAGGAGAGCGACGCAAGCGGGCGGCCCAGCAGCGCCCTGCACGTTGCCATGGCTGCGCGGGGCGTCCTGTAATGGCGGCTGCGGGAGCTGCGGGCAGCCATGGTGCGGAGTGAGTGTCACACAGCCTTCCGTCTCACCTCCGGCCCCATCCCTCCTTTCCCCACTCCCTAGTACCATATTCCCTCTCCCTGCACTTGCTCTTCATTCCTTATACCCTTACCTCAATATTTATTGTTTTCTTCTGCAAGTTTGTTTCCCTTACTCCCCTTAAATATATAGATAGCATACAGAATGTTAAATGTTCACTCCGTTCCCACAGAAGAACCCAGAAATAGATTCTGTTGGGGATGGTTGTCTCTGCCTTGCATACCATGTATCGAAAATGAGTGTTTCTGCATACTTCCTGCCACAATCATCAGCAAATGGAAATCTGGCTGTAATAAAACTGTCCAGAATAGTTTGTGTCACTTCTTTTTTTCTATAAAGGTATAGCAAGTGCAGATGTCTCCAATGTGTAAGTGTGCAGATCCTGGGATACTGTTTTCTTGCTCAAAAGCACCTGTTTGCACTGGACATACTGTCACTGCAAGATCTGACACTAGACACATTGGAAAGAAGGTCATTCTTTTCTGTAATTTCCAGCATGCTTGCAAAGTAAGTTATTAGAATGCTGATATTTTTCGTATTTTCTGTAAATACTATTTAGTCATGATTATTGCCATATTTTCTCTAATAATTTAATCAGCTTTAATCAATTTGCTGTTAAACAGAAGATGGTTTTTCAGATGCAGCAAACCTACCCACAGTGATTCAAGGGGATGGGCTCACCTTTCCCAACATGCTTCCTATGCAGACAGGATCCACTCTAGCATCAATACCAGCATCACTGATAAATAATTCCATATATCTGTAAATGTGACATAAATCTAAATTAGATAAAATTTGGGTGAAAGAAGGGAAACTGAACTCTGCTTATTTGCAGAAAAGAAAATGTAATGTGCAAAACTTATTTTGCCTCTTTCCTAAAGGCTGTGGATAGAGGAGCTGTGCTGACACACACAAGACTGCGCCACACAGGTGCACAGATCACCAGGCTTTTAGCAGCTCTGTTCATGTGAGTGTGTGCAGCTGTTCCAGGACCAGTAAAAAAAACAGAGCATTTATCAAAACCTCCCTGAGATAAAGAAGCAGTGAAAGAATGTAATAAATGCATGCTAGGACCAATTGGTTTTCATAGATCTCTGTATTTATATATATTTCTTTTTTTATTGTTTTTCTTCAGAGTATTTTTGAAAGGCTTGCTAGGCTTCTGTAAGTTTTTAAAATATGAGTAAGATTCTATGCTTATTTCCTAAAAGTCATGTTTTTAATCAGTACTTCACTGTAGTTGACTGTTTATCAAGGAGATGAAAATGCAAGTGCTTTTTTTGGTGCAGTGGACTGGAAACAAAGTAATCACATCTAGCTCAAGAGTGAGCACTAGTTCTCACAGAATTTCTTTATCTTCATCATACAGATCCTTTTAACTGACTGAAAGATTGCCTTGCACTAAACATTGCTAAATGAAAATTCTTGAAGCCAGGTTTCTAGCATCTTTCAGCCAATGAAACTCTTCTGCTTGCTGCTAATGAACTGCTGGTGTCTACAAAATACGCAGGATTACATATCATCCCAACACAAACGTTTATAAGCATGAATTAGTTATAGCTTTGCCCCAAGCAAGGTTTGCTCTACACTTTTATGGAAGATTCCACAGTTTTCATATGGATTTTTCTAAATGTTGGAGGTGGCTTAACTGCATTTTACAAATTATTCTCACTGTAGCAGGATGAGCTGAAGTTGCTTGACACTTGTCTTTTATAGCAGAATTTCTTTTTGTTGATACTTGTCCCAAGTATCTGTTTAGTATGATGGAACAAAAGATTTTAATGATCTAAAAAATTGTTCATAATTCAAATAGTGGAGATATTTTCCAATGACCTCAACTATTTTTTCAGTCACTGAAGATCTTGTTAGAAGACGTGCAGAACATAATAACTGTGAAATTTTTTCACTGGAAGAAATCTCTTTACATCAGCAAGAAATAGAAAAATTAGAATACCTTGACAAATGGTGTCGGGATTTGAAAATTCTCTATCTTCAGAATAACCTAATTCCAAAAATTGGTAAGCATTTTCTGCATATGTTTTTTATTAAATGGAATTGCTTGCATAGTAAGAAATATATGTATATCTTTTGCGTTATTCTTCATAGAATGTGGAGTGTGTAACTACAGAGAAGTTCCTTCTGATTCTGCTCCCACAAGCGTTTATTTCCCTTTCGTGTTAGCAGGCTTCTAAGAAGCTTAGAAATTTGCAGGAGTTTAAATGAAAAAGTTAGTACTGAGATACAAGTCACTAGAATGGAAGTGTAGAACACCTTAATTGGTTAAAAACTTGTATGTGAAGGTATAACTCAAAGGTCCTTTTCTTGTAACAGAGACAGTTCAATGCATTCCATGAACTGCAATACTTGAGAACTAGCTGTCCTCATGCTCATTTTTCAATTCAGTTTTTATACACATAGTAGCTTTTGTTCAGATGGAAGTAATCTTCGTTCAGATACAGTAATTGCTTTTGTGCATAAAGACTTACAGACAACTTACAGAGAAGTCTGAATGATCTTCCTTTACCACAGGAAGATGCAGTTCCTTATGATCTATGTTTTGTGCTCTTGTGATGCAGCTTTAAGTTTGCTAGGCACACAGAATGATATGACATGGAGTCTTGGTCTGGAAAAGCATCGATTCTACAGATACTGTATAGATTAACTAGAGTGGTTCAGTTGGAAAGGACCTTGAAAGTACAACTGCCTGACCTTTCTGGAACTAACCGAAAGTTAAAGCATATTGTTAAGGACATTATGAAGAATGGAAAATGAGAAGTGCTCAGGAATGATATTGGCATATTTCTTTGAAGTTCCTTAAGAGACTCCCATTTATAAGAAAGGTCGTAAGGAGGATCCGGGGAACTACAGGCCTGTCAGCCTGACCTCGGTGCCAGGGAAGGTTATGGAGCAGATCGTCTTGAGGGAGATCATGCGGCATGTGCAGGGTGACCGGGGGATCAGGCCTAGCCAGCATGGGTTCATGAAGGGCAGGTCCTGTTTGACCAACCTGATCTCCTTCTATGATCTAGTGACCCATCTGGTGGATGAAGGAAAGGCTGTTGATGTGGTCTACCTAGACTTCAGCAAAGCCTTTGACACTGTCTCCCACAGCATTCTCCTGCAGAAGCTGGCAGCCAGAGGCTTGGATGGGTACACTCTTGGCTGGGTAAGGAGCTGGCTGGAGGGCCGGGCACAGAGAGTGGTGGTGAATGGAGTTAAATCCAGCTGGCGACCGGTCGTGAGTGGTGTTCCCCAGGGGTCGGTGCTGGGGCCTGTCCTCTTCAATATCTTTATTGATGACCTGGATGAGGGCATCGAGTGCACCCTCAGTAAATTCGCAGATGACACCAAATTGGCTGGAAGTGTGGATCTGCCTGGGGGTAGCGAGGCCCTACAGAGGGATCTGGACAGGCTGGAGAGCTGGGCTGGAGCCAATGGGATGAGTTTCAACAAGGCCAAATGCCAGGTCCTACACTTCGGCCACAACAACCCCAGGCGACGCTACAGGCTTGGGGCGGTGTGGCTGGAGGACTGCGTAGAGGAAATGGACCTGGGGGTATTGATTGATGCTCGGCTGAACATGAGCCGACAGTGTGCCCAGGTGGCCAAGAAGGCCAATGGCATCCTGGCTTGCATCAGAAACAGTGTTGCAAGCAGGAGCAGAGAGGTGATTGTTCCCCTATATTCAGCACTAGTGAGGCCGCACCTCGAGTACTGTGTCCAGTTTTGGGCCCCTCACTGCAAGAAAGATATTGAGGCCCTGGAACGTGTTCAAAGAAGGGCAACAAAGCTGGTGAGGGGTCTGGAACACAGGCCATATGAGGAGAGGCTGAAGGAGCTGGGAATGTTCAGCCTGGAGAAGAGGAGGCTCAGGGGAGACCTTATTGCTCTCTATAACTTCCTGAAGGGAGGTTGTAGTGAGCTGGGGGTCGGCCTCTTCTCTCGTGTCATTAGTGATAGGACCAGAGGGAATGGCTTCAAGCTACGGCAGGGGAGATTCAGGCTGGACATTACGAAATATTACTTTTCAGAAAGGGTGGTCAGGCACTGGAATGGACTGCCCAGGGAGGTGGTGGAGTCACCGAGCCTGGGGGTGTTCAAGGAAAGGCTGGATGTTGTGTTGAGGGACATGGTTTAGTAGGAGCTATTGGGAATAGGTGAACGGTTGGACTGGGTGATCTTTTAGGTCTTTTCCAACCTTAGTGATTCTATGATTCTATGATTCTAAGAGGCAGAAAAGACAATCTAGAGTTTTAGGGTGAAATTCTGTGCTTGTGATTTGGAGGCAAAGCCTTTAAATCTCAATTCCAAGCTGCCCTAACGGGGCTTGTCAGGAAATTCCAAAGGAATATTTGTATTGATAACATCTGCATTACTTCGAGTGGAGTAATCTTCTCCCAGAGAGAGAAAGTTTTTTTTTAAACTGCTTTATGCTGCTCTATCCCATCAGAATTTGAGTAAAAAAAGTTGTTTTTTCTGTTATTTTGTGCTTAAGGCACAAGACCCTATCTTATTATTTTGTCAGTGCTCATATCTCATAGAAACAGTACTGAATTCAAGAAGTAAACCACTGTGAAGTAGACAGCAATGCATTGATGCAGAACACACACTTCTGTATATCAAAATATCATATCTGTATGTTTTATACTGCCTCTGTCAGGATGTGTCTCTTATTTTAAAGGAAACCCTTAACACCACCCTAAAGATCAGACTAGCCTACTGGTCAGTTAGCAAGCTGCAAGGTATCCATATGCATAGAAATAAAACCACCAAGCTGTGTAAAGGATTCATGGCTCTTTTCTTTTCTATAAATGGGAAGAAAACACAAGATAACATTGTGTTCTACACTGCCTTACTCATATCATGCACACAGATATTGCAATTATAGAAATACCATAGAGAAAATATACAGCAAAATACGCTGCATGAATCCTTACTGAGAAATTAATTTCATCATCTATGAATGGAGAAAACACCTCTCCAAGGTCTTAGTTAACCAGAAGAAGACAAATTTTCAAGCCTGATTTAGTTCACTGGTTTTAGACAGCCAATTTAAGACAAGACAAATTGCACCCTGAATAACCTATTTCTCTGTATTGATTATAGGGGATCCTAGAGAAGTAGCTCAGCTGTAGACATGATCTGTATCAGTTAGATGAATCTTTCTCTGCTTGAATTTCTTTGTTTGCCTCTGCAGGGCCAGTATGTACAGCAGTTAGTCAGCACAGCTTGCAAATTAGAGTGTGAGGTAAACTTTCTGACTTCACTGGATAGGTTTTCCAGTCAGATCTTCAAAAAACCTGAGACTGGTGAAGTCTGTGAACTGCATCATGAGTTAAAGCGTGTATCTTGTATCAGAGTTGTGTCTCAGACCTGCGTGTCACATTTCAAATGGCATTTGCGTTTCCCAGTTATTTTGGCACTGGTAAAGTTTACTACTCCCCCACCTTGCTTACACAGAGGAGGAAATGCTAGGTATTCTGATAGAAATAAAAGAACAAGCATTGTGGTCCTGCTAATTTCAATAGCTTGCGGTGAAAATAATACATTTTAGATCCTAGACTATAGAATGGTCCTGTTGTTGGCTGACAGCTGCCTGCTATCTTATGTTTGGCCTGTAGAAAGAGAACTCCTGCAGCTTTAAGTGAGCCATTGTATATATTCCAGTTATATCACAGTGACACTATGGATAAATTTGAATCACCATATTTAATAAAGAACAGCGTCACTCATTTATTTCTGTCAAATTGTCTTAATCTATCAGGGAATGTTCCTGGATATATCATCTACTGTATTTATTCTTGGCTTGAAACAAAGTGATGTAGTACCTCCTCTTGTACCCTTATACTACCATACATTTTCTATGATTAGAGCAACTTTCTAATCCTTTTCTCCTCTTAAAACAAACATCAAGCAGTACTGCACTCCTTCAGTGCTTTCCACTATGAGGAATGATACATTAGATAATGCAGGTGATGTTTAGGGTTTACATAATGCTTTTCTGTAAAGAACGCCCATAGAATGCTGTGTAAATATTTATTTTGAATGCAGAAAAGGAATTCTTCATATGCCACTGAAATCCTGTGCAGTGTCAAACACAGAATGCTTCTGACACAATGTGTGATTGTCTCAGGGACAACAAGGTGCTGTAATCCTAACATCCTCTTGGTTTCCGTTTAGTTGAGGGAGCTTAGCTTCTTTGAAGAAGCGTGCAAGCATTTAGGATCTCAACCCTTCTGCATCTCTGAGCTTAGTTTAGTTCCTCTGCAAATGGCTTAACCTCCAGATCCCACGCCACTTGCAATCTGAACAATTCCTCAACTCTTTCATTATTCAGCCTTACCTCTGTTCGGTGTGTATCTTTGTAGTATGTGTGCTAATGCTGCGTGCTAAGACAGTGTCACTCAGTACATGGCCATAAAGCTTTAGAAATCTGTTGTAGGCAGGTGTGTGACAGTGAAGGACAGTGTTACAAAAACAGAGGACTGGCAAACTTACTAGCACAGGAGCATGAGCTCTAGCAAAGGGAATTATAAGATAAGGTTTTATTTCCCAAAATGCTAATGCATGCCTCAAGGTTGTTTTTTAGGCTTGTGGCAGAAAGGAATCGTGGTTTGAAGTTGTTACTGCACTTGCTTTACTTCAGTCAGAATGGAGTGTTTGTGTATTCATTATGACTTGAGTGAAAATGGAAAAGATAATGGCTAACCCATCATTGTGGGCCAGCCCACTGCTGCTTCCTCAACTGATCATGCATATCTGAAAATCCTAGTTGAAAATGACATGACCTATTTTGTTAATCCGTCCATTATTTTCTAATGTCAGGAATTAAAACACATCTTTAGGTTTTCCTAAAAACTTAAGTTGCCTCAAAAATTCCATCAGAAAAGGAAACTTCTTAGACCACATTTTTACCAGAATTAACTCATACTATTTTACAGGCAACATAAATTGCAGGCTAAGTAACTTTGGGTTATGTAAGATAGTAGGTCTAAGCTTTATTTCAAAACAGAATAAATTCTTCCAACAGCTATATAACATGGATTATGGATTATTTCAGTTACTTGTAATAGCACTGTAGATAAAAGACCTTTAGAAAATGAATATATACTAAAGAAACCAATCTTTTCTATATAAGTGAGTGTAAAACTCCAGTTTCATAAAGCTTGACAAAATATGGTCCAATTATTCCAGAGTTTCATGATGAACAAAATATTTCACCACATATTTTGGCCAGTCCTCTTGCATTATGTACTTGTATTATAGATGTTTTGATAAAAAATGTGTTTATAGCCTTCCCTCTTTTTTAATATTAACATATACTTCTCATAGAAATCCTGTTTTCATCTTTTTAAGCGTTAAAATATTAATGCCTGATAGTCTAATACAAATTCAGTTTTGTCCTTCCCATTTTTCTGCTTTATTGTTTGTTTGAAGTTAAGCAAACAAGTAAAATAATAATGCCTATTCAGTGAAGGAAACTGAAGTAATGGATCTGTGTTTTGTTACAGAAAATGTGGGCAGGTTAAAGAAGTTAGAATATTTAAATGTTGCATTGAACAATATTGAAAGAATTGAAAATTTGGAAGGTAAGATATTTTAATGAACTGGTTCACTTTTTATTACTGAAAAACTTGAGTAGAGACAATGTAAAGAAAAGTGGAAGCTATTAATTATGCCCATCAATAAATGTAGTACGTTTACAGTCAGAAGAAACTGGTTTGTGTGCAGTGTTTCAGAAATTCTTTGTAGCCAGTGGTTCTTACAGCTGAAGTTTTGTCACTGTTGTTTCTTAAATGCATTTTAACTGGCTCTTTGCGTACTCTTTTACTAGTGTTGTCAGCTACGACAGCTCCATTCTTTAATCCTTTACAAAACAGGAATCAAAATTTAATGAACCTTTACAGGATTGGTATTGGTATTGCCCCAGTTGTGTCAGGGTAAGTTTAGGTTGGATATCAGGAAAAACTTCTTTACAGAAAGGGTTGTTAAGCACTGGAACAGGCTCCGCAGGGAGGGTTGAGTCACCATGCCTGGATGTGTTTAAAAACCGTCTGGATGTGGTGCTCAGGGACATGACTTAGTGGAGGGTTGTTTGTTAGGGTAGTGGTGTGGCTGGGTTGTGGTTGGACTCAATGATCTTTAAGGTCTTTTCCAACCTGAGCAATTCTATGCTTTTCTATCATTTGTTATGCAGCTTATCTAGAGCAAAGTTTTTTTGTTTTTGTTTTTTTATTACCATGCTGGCTGTAAAAAGCATCTCTTTTTATCATTCTGCAGTCACCTTTGCTTCAGCAATCAAAAGTCTCACAGAAGAACATTCTACATTGTACAGAAGTTGCATTGTCTGGAGTATTTTTACAGAGGTTTTCAGATCAATCTTTTTTCTATCTTTACATAAAATTGTATCCATATGATCTCTATTTAATCATTTAGCCTGTCACTATAATTGCTTGTCCAAGGATTTACCATTTTCCATGAACAGGTCCTAAGACTTAGAGCCATCCATAAATACATTCCATACTATTTGAACCATTTCTGACTTTTGACTTATTTCCTTTTTCTTTCTCGATTTCTGCTTTGTCAAGTTGCTCAGTATATAAAATGTGCACCTTAGCAAGGGGACAAAAAAAAAAAAAAAAAGCTGTTTTGCTTTGTTTTCTTTTGAATCATATGCATGCTGATTCAAGAGAATGGTTTAAATCAAATGGAAAAATAAACAAATAGTTGCAGAAATATATACTGCATTACTTATTTGGCAGTTTGTTGAGAAATTTACATCTATTTTCATGCCAGCAAATTTTAAGGTGCTCTAGCAGGCTGCATTATTTATTACTGTGATTTGTCATTTACTTAGATGCCAGAAACTTTGGGAGCGAGCGTTGCAAAAATTGAGGTTGTTTTAATCCTCTAATAAATCATTTTGCATTGTTTATGCTCTTTTCCATTATGCATAGAATACTTGCCAAGTAGACCTGCAAAGGAAAAGAGGTGATTAAAATGATGAGCACAGAAGCTGAATTTGCTCTTAGCTGAACTTTTTTACTCTTAGGCCAAGGTTATGACTCAGGACAGATTATGATAAAAGGAGTAGCTGACAAATTCTGGATCCAGATTTCCCAAATCAATGTGTTAGCAAATTTAGTGCTACTAATTATAATAAATGTTTCTGGTTAACACACCACTTTCTCACCAATTTTTGCAATTTAATCAGTGATAAAATATTCATAACAATAGCTGAGTCCATAAAGTGCAAAACTTCATCTCAACTTGGAGTGGATTTTTAGAAAACGTTTTATCAACACTTTGGTAATGTTAGTGAAGATTAACATTACACAGAAAGGAAACCCGTAAGTCATCCTGCTCTTCCAAAGTAATTAGGCACTCTTTAGCCATGTGGAGAAGACTTCAGCTGAGAACAGTACCAGTATGATCAGACTCTTAAAGCTGAAGTTTATCGTCTGGAAATGAAGCATTTAATAACTAGTATACAAGCTCTGACCACAGAGTTCTTATAGTCATGAAACCAAGAGTAATTTTTTTATATTTTCCATCTTACCAAGAATTTTTTTTCTTTCTATAAATATTTTGATCTCCTGAAGCTTAGCTGTGAGTCAGTCTTCTACCTGTGGCCTGTAAAAGATGTATCCTGACAGGATGAAGTTACTATACAAAGGCAAATGCAGGCATCATTTTTAGTACCTAAGTACATATATGTCTCTGTATGTTTGTGTGTATGTGTCATGAGCATTTATGTTATGAACAAATCAAATGATTTTTTTTTAATTCAAATAGGCTGTGAAGAACTGAAGAAGCTTGACTTGACAGCAAATTTCATTGGTGAACTGTCCAGTGTCGAAACCCTAAAATATAACATACATTTGAAGGAACTGTTTCTAGTGGGTAACCCATGCACTGAATTTGAAGGTTATAGACAATTTGTGGTGGCAACACTTCATCAATTAAAAGTAAGATTTTTATTGTTAATTCTATGAACAAATCAATAGCCAGCTTTGTTGACTAAACATACTAATACAAAACAAAACAAATGCTTATGGTAGGAAAAAATAGGAATCTTTTTCGTACTGCCCTCAGGAAAGTGAAGTCTGTTCTCAAGAATTCTGACTAAACCACAGTTATTTCTTAGAGTTATCAGTCATTGTCATTGGAGATGCTTTTACGAATTTCCAAAAAGATAAGTACATAGTACAGTTGTGGCTTTTTACTCATTTGTTTTTATACAGACAGTATTTTTTTAAACATATATTTTTTAATATTGTCATGATTTCAGAAAGTTACTAAGTTGTTGATAAGGTACTGATGTTATATACCATACCAACAGTGTAAGGCAATGGAAGGATAGAAGTTGACATGAAAATGCACTATATTGCATCTGCTGTAAATAGATATGTTGAGATTGAGATTCTGCGCAGGGACTGATCTAATGATTTCCTGTCACTGAAAATGACCCCAAGTACACACTCACACTTTACCTTGGAGAAGCACAGACACTTACTTTCCTTAATGTGAGTAGATTCAACTAACTTTGTCAGCAGTAAATGAACACATTTAAAGAAATATATTTGTAATAGTTCCATGAGCTGAATCAAAATGAGAAAAAAAATAACAGAAATGGCTGAAGGGACTCTTCCTACTCCATAGTAATAAGACAAAGTAAAATTCTGAGAAGATGCAAAAGGCAACTGTTAGGCACAAACACTTTTTCAGACCTAAATAGAAATTTACTGTTAATTCGTTTAAATATACTGTTTCTTAAATAGTGCTTTGGAGGTTTGAAATGAATATTAAATTAACCTGAAGTTTAATGGATTTATTTGATTGAATATGTTTAAAAGTTCTCATGTATTTATATGGATTTTTCTTCCCATTGGGAAGTATTTGGATAGTAAAGAAATAGAACGTTCGGAGAGAATTCAAGCACTTCAATACTATCCAGAAGTGAAACAGAAAATCAGAGAACAGGAACAAGCTTACCTTCTCAAAAGAGCCAAAGAAAAAGAAGAGGCTCAAAGAAAGATGCATGAAAGAAAGGATAGGAAAGAAAAACAAATGGAAGCTGAGCTTGGACTTGACAGGTAACAGTAGGTAGCAACAGTTTTTAAGTAATCATCTAATCATCATTCTTCTTTTTCTTCATTAATAATTTTGCTTTTCCTCCTGAAATATTGGTTATGTAATTCTACTTAAAGTCTCATGTTTGTCTTTATTACTGATTCTAGTGGGATTCCAGCATTTATCCTCAAGCATTTTATGCCTAAAGAAAAATATAATCAGTTATAAATGTCATTAATTACTGATCTGCAGACAGTACAAAAGAATTTTTGTCCTGTATCTCCTGGCTAAATTGTCTGGGTGCAAAACAGTGTAATTGATAGCTTCTTTCAGATGGACAGCTGGAAATTGTTATTTAAGGTAATGCAATTGTTTCAGAGAAAGCTGTTCTTCATCTATAATTTCTTTTGCTTCAGACATAATAGATATTAAGAATGAAACAATTTGAAGATCTTTTGAGATGTGTAAAAGGCTATGGAATTGTTTACACCTACACTTCTTCTACCTTATGTTACTAAGACAGCAAAAGGATTTTTCTCTCGCTTTCTCTTTCACTGTACTTGACCTTCATCTTTAGTCCATTTTTAGTCCAGTAGAGTCTAATTTCCGTGATTCATAGAATCAAAGAATCGTAGAATGGCTTGGGTTGGAAGGGACCTTAAGAATCATCAAGTTCCAATCCACTTGCCACAGGCAGAGTTGCCAAATGCAAGATTGATCACTAGATCAGGTTGCCTGGGCCCCCACCTAATCTGGCCTTGAACACCTTCAGAGATGGGGCATCCACATCCTCTCAGGGCAATATGTTCTAGCACTTCACCACCCTCTGTGTGGAAAACTTCCCCCTGTCTGATCTAAATCTTCCCTCCTTTAATTTAAAACCATTCTCCCTTTGTCATATCACTGCCTACCTGTGTAAAAAATTGATTTCCCTCATGTTTATATCTCCTTTTAGATATTGGAAGGCCATAATGAGTCTCCCTGAAACCTTCTCTTTTCTAGGCTGAGCAAGACCGATTTCTTCAGCCTATTGTCATAGGAAAAGGTGCTCCAGCCCTCTAATCATCTTTGTGGCTCTCCTCTGGACCTTTTCAAAAGCTAAACATCTCTCCTGTGTTGGGGGCCTGGGCACAGGGACAGTGCTCCAGATGGGGCCTCATGAGAACAGAGCAGAGAGAGACAATCATCTCACCCCTCTTCTGATGCAGCCCAGGATACTGTTGGCCTTCTGGACTGCAAGAGCACACTGCTGCCTCATGTTAAATTTTTCGTTTACCAGGATCCCTATCTCTTTCTCAACAGGGATACTCTCAAGGATTTCTTCTCTCAGTCTTTATACACATTTGGGATTACTGCTTGCACTTTGCTTTGTTAAATCTCATTAGGTTCACAAGGACCCACCTTTAGAGTTTATCAAGGTCCCTCTGGATGGCACCTCTTCCTTCTATGGCAAACTTGCTGTGGGTGCGCTCAATCCTTCATCTATGTCATGAATAGAAGATGTTCAAGAGTACTGACCCCAGGACCGCCCCCTGGAGGACCACTGCTTGTCACCAGCCTCCACCTGGACTTAAATACATTGACCACAAGCATCTGGGTGTGTCCTTCTGGCCAATTCTTTATCCACCAAATAGTCCACCCTTCAAATCCATATTTCTCTAATTCAGAGAAAAGAATGTGGTTCAGAACCATGTCAAAGGCCTTGCAGAAGTCCAGATAGATGACATCAGTTGCCTTCCCCTTGTCCACTGATGCTGTCACTCTGTCATGGAAGACCAGTAGATTGGTCAGGCATGACTTTCCCCTGGTGAAGCTCCACCTTCTGTTTTGGATCACCTGCTCATCCCTCATGTGCCTTAATGTATCTCCCAGGAGGATGTGCTCCGTGATCGTCCAAGACACAGAGTTGAGTCTCACTGACCTGCAGTTCCCCAGATCCTCCTCCCTCCCCTTCTTGTATATGGAAGTGATGTTCCTCTTTTTTCTTGTTACTAGGGAACTTTGCCTGACAGCCACAACTTTTCAAGTATAATGGAGAGCAGTTTGGCAGCCACATCAGCCAGTTCCCTTTGGATCCTGGATGCATGTCCATCATGCCCCATAGACCTGTACAAATTCAGTTTCAGGAGGCAGTCTCAGACTTACTCTGCCCTTACAGTGTGGGGGAGTTTTCTCCCCAGTTCACACCAGGAGTTTCAGGAATATGAGGTTTGGGGTTGTGAGAAGAATGAGAATCCTGGCTGCCAGTGAAGACTCAAGCAAAGAACTTAATGAGTACCTCAGCCTCAGACTAGAGCAGAATAAGTTATCCAAATACTTAAAATATTGTTATTGGTAGGAATTAATATTAAAAGTGGAGTAATCAATTTATCATTGCTGTTACTCTTCTTTTTCAAACAATATTCCATGTGGTTTCGTGTAGCCCAGACTCCCTACAATACAAAGAAAATTATCAGACAGAAGGAGAACAACAAATGTGGAGAACAGCTGAAGATGATGAAGAAGACAGAAGATTTTGGGAGGAGCCAACACCATATACTCCAGAATCTAGATTAGAAACTCACAGATATATTGAAGAAAAAAGGAAAGCTAGAGACAGTATAAGGTATGTTTTTTTGTTTTATAATATATTTTGGGAACTGAAGATGAACAACTTTTTGAAGGCACAGAGAGGAGGTTGGCATCTGCCTCCCATTGAATACTGTCTTTACCTGTGCAAATATGCTTTAAAAATGTTAGTAAAATATACTGGCTGCTTATTATTTTTCATTTTCTATTTTTTATTTTACCCTTTATTTTGTTTTCTCTCAAACAGGGTTGTTAAATGTAATAATTTCTCTTTTCAGCTCCACTGTTTGGATTTCAGAATTTCCACTGTTCTGCCAGCTAATTCATGTTTGATATCATGTTTGACAATGAATTCTGAGTGACACACCTAGGAAGTTATTATCTATGTAAATAAATGATACTACAAAGTATTTGCTCAGCTTTAGATGGTGCTTTTAATGTTCAGTTGGACATCTGACATAACCTGTTCAGTTTCTGAAATAAGTTGTATCCTTAAAATCCAGTACCAGATAATCCTTGCCTTCCTGACATCTTCTCCTTTCTGTTTTGCTATTCAACATAAAATATGAAAATGTGAAATTATAAGCTGTTTTTCTTTCTATTTTGTTTAGAGGGTCAAAAACAAGAGAGAAGCCTCTTCCAAAATTGGTCACTGCAGAAGGAAAAGTTCTGAATGTCAATATGCCTAAGTATGTAAGAAAGCAATGCTGTGAAGAATTTAAACAGTTGATTTAAACCACTATTTTGAAATGTGTGACAATACAAAAAATAAGAAAAAAGACAAATTCTGATATGTAGTATTGTATTTCAAGTGGGGAAAATTACTCCTAAAATTACACTCTGATGCTGGAAAAATAGTTTTCAGTGAGTAAAGTGTAAAAGATTGGTAATTTATATCTTGATATTTGAAAACAAAAGAATTTATTTTTGTGTAAAAACTCCTTACTCTTCTTCCCTTCTGTGGTAAATTTCTCTGACAGCATCTTGCTAATAATGGAAAAAGTGTAACTAAAATCTGACTGTTGAAGATAGATATGTCTAAGTAGCCACTTTAAATGTGGAAAATTATATGTAAGTACTATTTTTGAACAAAATCATTCTGTCTTTAAATGACAGATATAAACCTGGCAGAATTGTGCAGCATATGTAATTCACTTCTATGCATGACATAGAAGTCTGTAGCAATGGAGCCTCCTGTCTTCAAAGGCACATGGATATTCAAGTCCTATTTTAAAATGAATTTCCTGGAATATCAGCCATGTGTTACCATTGATTTCACTTGAAGCTGGAACCAAGCCTTCTTGTATTAATGGAAAACGGAAGACAGAGAACTGTTCCCTTATGAACGGCTTCTCAAACTGCCTATGATCAGTAGTTGGCCTTTGAAGGAAAACATACCTGTCTGCTGTTCTCCAAACAAGTTTTTCCAATTGTAGACTGGTTTATCTACAAAAACAAGCAAACAAGCAAGCAAAACCCCAAAGCTAAGAAAGTACTTATCACTGGCATGAAAAATGCTATCTGAACTTTAGAAATTCATAAACCCATGCAAATTTAAGGGATTTGAAATCTTACATTGCATAAATGCAATTGTATGCATTGTAAATGCATAAGTTTCTATGATCTAGGTAAAATTATAGGTAATAGCAGAAAAGCTTGTATTTATTTGATCTTCATTGGAATAATCTTTTCAATGTTTTGATGTACCTTTCTGTAAAAATGTGTTGACAGAAAATGAAAAGAATGATTTCCTAGTTGAAAGATGACAAACCTTAAATAGTTTAAATCTTATGCTAATAGAAAGCATTTAGAATCAAGCTCAAGCTATCTAATTTTAAGAAAAACAGTCATCTAGAGTTAACTGTTAGTAGCAGTCCTATTCATATCACCTGAGTTTACTGGATTAAAATTTACTGTGTGGATGTGCCCAGGTAAAGCCAGTTCATTGACATTCTTTGCTGTTATGGCTTCAACAGGAATATTCCAGCTCCACAGTGCAATCTGGCAGGTACTGGAGAGACATAAATAAAGAGTACAGAGATGGTGCCCTCCAAACATTTTGTTTTATTGCTTAAGTCTAATGTCCAAAATATCCAAGGTTATCTGATGCTGAAAGCTTATCAAAAGGAATAGCTGTATGCTATTCAGAAAAGAAGACTATTTATTTTTCTCATTTCTACTAAAGTTTTCACCTAGAAAATTTAACAATTCTCTATTTTTTTGCCCTTTGTATTTTAATGCATTCTCAAGATTTTGGGTGTAGTAAGAAAAGGAAGCGTGAATGGGAAAAAAAGCTGTTCATACTGCTTGCAGTTTTCTGTTCAAAAATATGCATAAGCTAAAAGCTCCATAAGCTTTCTTCTAATTAGTCTGTGTCACAGTGGGGGAGAGAAAAGAATTTAAAAGTATATCTGTATTTTCATTGCTGAGATATTACTGCTAACTGATAAACTGTTAACAGTTTAGCTTTTTTCTATTAGATGAACCCAAAGTATCTGAGGATTCTGATGTCAGTTTCAGTATTTGATCAGAACTTGTAGCTGTAGACAAAATCTTATAATAAAAGTACAAGAGTTGTTTTAAATTTATAACTGCTGAGATTTGTTCATAAATTTCAGAAGTTAGCCAGCAGATCAGAAACACATAGCTATTAAAATCTATGGCCTTATTTTTAACAAAAAGGACTAAGCTTGTAGAATCAAGGATATTATGCATTTTTATTTACTTTATTTTACAAACGCGGATGCAGATATTTATGCCACAGGTAACTTCCACAAGAAAAACCATGCAATTTTTTTTTTTTTTTTTATAAACAAATTATGAAGTTAGAATTACTGGGTTTCAGGCTGTTCATGCTTTTCATGAACGGTCTTTCTATGAAGATATCTATAAAAAAGACACTTTGCCAGCAGATGTCTCTCTTTCTGCACTGACAGACTGAAGTTAACTAACCTTCAGCACAATTTTTATTTGTTTCTTGGGGATCGGGTAAGAACAGAAAGCAAATATAAGAGTGACTCTAGCTCAAATGTCACTATGTTAATATCTTTTACTACTTATGAGGAAAATTTGAAACCATTTGTCAAATATTCATGTCACATTATCACATGATCATGATCAGTATCATTTTTATTTACCTGAAATTGTTAGTAGTTGAATTTGAAGAGGGTCATAATGTTTGTTTATTCATCCCAATTGATTCTGATGGTGTGTCTTATCATTACTATTAGGCTTCATTTCTCTTTGAAAGATGATGAAGAAAACAATCAGTTCATCTTGGATCTTGCTGTTTACAGGTCAGACTTATTATTTATGTTTCCGCTTCATTTTTGCCATTACGTTCTAATACACAGAATTCCAAATATAATCCTTTTTGTAATGGAATTTCAAGAGGAAAACAAATATAGGGGGTTATATAATCAATCTTGACGCCTCTGTCAAAGAAGTGGAACTGTATAACTCAAAGACCCTTCAGATTGATTGAATAAGCTCTGTGTCTTAGTAGTCTTTTTTTTAACTGATGTCTTTTGCAGTCTACAGACAAGTTTCCTCCACGCTTGTCAGTTTATACTTATGTAAAATCTTTTCCATTCATTCATTGGCAGAATAGAATTGTAAGAAATGTTTTTGTCCATTGTCTAGCCCTAGAAAGGCTCCAATACAGTTCAGGATCTTCTAGTTAAATTCTTCTTGAAACAAGATGAGATAGCCTAGTCCATAGTGCTTATTGGAAAGAGTCCATGGTTTATGCTATTCCTTAAACTATGACAGAGCATTCTCTAGAATAAAGTTATCTGAAACAGACCAAAATATGAGAAGGAAACCTTATAACTCTTTTATTGTATTTACTACTAAGTACTTTAGCAACTTTATTTGTGGCTTTACCTCTGGGTCAAAAAGGGATTTGAAAGCCACAAGACTATTTACCCCAAATTGGAACTTGTTAGAGTTTATATTATAATTCACATCAGGTGTTCTTTCCTTTAAGCTTATTTATTTTGTTTAGAACAAGCCCACTCAATTTTTTTCTGAATTATAAGAATTAGGTTTTTTGGAGCCATAAAAATTCTGTTCTCATGCAATAAAATGTTGGATATTGTGTAATAGTCTGTGCTTTTCTGTAGGAAATGAAAACTAAAAAGTTTGAAAATTTCACCTTAGAAGTAACATAAATGAAGGGAAATAGGAAATATGTTCTCATACTTTCACTAGCTGGCCACAGGAACAAGAGTATACTTCACATGATGAAGAGCAGATGTTAGATTGGAGCTTCTACAGGTCACAATCTTTGTTTGCCAGTACTGGAATGTAAAAATACTGTTTTCTGGGAATATAAATATTTATTTTCAATTGATATAAAAAGGGTCCCTTTATTAAAAATTTACCAGCTAACAATAGTAGCAGAATGCTTCTACAGTTTTAAATAGCAAGTAAGCAAATTTTCATATTAATGTAAAGCAGCATACTAATAAAAAAAAAACACACACACACACAAAAAACTTCTCTGTTTTCACAAAGATTTTGAAACACTGGAGTTATACAATAGCTGTACTGAAATACTGTTGTGGACTTGGCAGAATTCGGCACTATTTTATTTGATGTTCTGTGAACACACATAGGAATATCATATTTTTCTTCCAAAAACCATCCCACTAAATCTAAGTAATATTTCATTTAACTTAATAACTAAAAATTGAATTTTATAGTTTACAAATTGTCAAGTTATTACTAAAGAGTTAAATAATCTGAAGAGTTTATGTACTGAATTGTATTGTGAAGTTTATTAATTTATATACATTTATTTTTGAAGACATCTGGACACTTCTCTGCTTGATATCGATGTCCAGCCAACTTACATACGAGTACTGGTGAAAGGAAAGGTTAGTTTTGTTCTTATTAAATTCATGTCAGATCAATGTTTAGTTTATGCAATGGTTATTCAGTGTACTCTGTAGCTGACTTACACTAATTATCAACTTTCGTGCACATATTCAGAAAAAACACTCTTTCATAATTGCATTATTTTGAACCACGTATAAACTGTGGAAATTCTCACCAGAAGAGATGCAAAGCCTGAAATGAAATTCTATTCTCTCTTTCTCTCCTTCTCACTTTTTATTTCCATTATAGTGTACCATAAATCACTTAAGAGAGCTTATTAGTTGCCCTAGGCTACTATTTAGCAGTTTCACAATCTGGAATTTATAGCAGACGGAAACAAATGGATGTGTATTCCTTTGAAAGAGTGTTTAAAATGCCATTTTACTTTTCTCCCTTCTCAATGGTTCTATTTTTATTATCAGTTTTTTGAAAAATTTGAAACATTTAAATAGTAAACTGAAGTCCATATTTATGACTTTACCGACTGCATAAATAAAATTTCAGAATTAATTTAAATCTAAAATAGACTAGATAAGCTTTCTCATTTAATTGCTAATGTAAGTCAAGCATCAGTTTACAACATTTTTTAGAAACATTACTTCAGAAATGACAGCAATTCAAAAATATACATATAGCTATTCTTGTTAGTAAAAGCTGTTTAGCATGTTAATCGTGTATTAGGATTAGTAATACTGTATTTCAATTGAGAGGTTTTAGACATAGACTGCTATTAATATCAAAGAATGTGATGGTTATCTTATGTGTGTGTGTTCTATCCAGGTTACAAATAAAAATAAAAAAAAATAGCATGATATACTTCAATTCTGTTTTCTCACAGACATTCCAACTAGTGCTCCCTGAGGAAGTCAAGCCAGATAGCAGCTCTGCTAAAAGATCACAAACAACTGGTCATTTAGTTGTCAGCATGCCAAAGGTATGAAAAATAATCTGAGGAGGCATCACAGGAAGGTATTTAAAATGTTATGAGTACACTGGGAATGTTTCTGAGTCAAAGGTAATAACTAGCTAGTTAAAGTTATTCAGGATATATTTCCCAAAGAAGGAACATTCCAGAATGATGATTTAATCATAGTGCCAAAAGGTCTGATTTAGAATTCCTTTAAAGAACTCTTAAGGAAATCAATATTAATAGAACTTTTTCCCGTATTTTCAACAGATACAGCTTTTTATATGTGAAAATATCCTCTGCAAAATCTGTCATGTTCTGAAGCCATGTATGAAGAAGTGTTTATAATAGAACTGAAAATAAGAAGCTTTTTTGTCTATATGAGATAATAAGACCAGATGAATTTTTCAAAATTCGTGTGGCCCACACATGTGTGAAAATGACATTTTTGGGACACAAATCCTTGTCAAAATGCTTTCTATCCATAGAAATCATATTAATATGAAAAGAATGTATTCTAGGAAAGTAATATAATGAATAAATTTTGGGAGTAACTGTAATGCCAGCACAAGCTTTTCTTCCAGAACTTTATGGTTGAAGATATCAACAATATTTGATAGCACTAATTTTTTATCATAAACTTGATATTAATTTGATATTTCAAGATGAGAGGAAGGACAGTTCATACAGCTTCTTTTCAGTTTGTATCAGTGATAAGAAAAACCTAATGACTATATTGCACTATATTTAACATTTCTGATCCTGATAAATAATTATTAAAAAATAAAATATAAATTATATAAAAAATAAAATTATTTGTAACTAGATAAAAGAGCTAGCAAGTTCCATAGGTAACTGAAATTCTTAAAATACTATTAAACTAAAAAGCAGACTTATACAGAAGGCTTTTTGCAATACTATCCAGAAAAGATCTCTAACAGAATGCTAACTGAATTCAGTGTTTTTTTTTCTTGCTTTAGTGAGTTTCTGGGTAGGTTGCTAAACATTTCACTGTACATCTTCCAGCCTGTTCATCATATTTTCCCAGCCTTTAAAATGAGAAGTAAAATCTCTCTAGTTGACTCTCCGATGGCCTTGCCATTCATAGATATTATAGATAGTAAATTCCACATAACGCAGAAGAAAGTAAATTATTTTCACCTCATTTTCTGGAAACACTTTTCTTAAATGTACTATTTATTGTACAGCAAACCAATGCAGAATGGGCGTCAGAAATTTCTAAGGCACTCCCTAAATATCAAAATATCTTGCAGGGAAGATAAAAAGTGAGAGTTTCTTGGTTAACTTTAACCAAAATTGACATATTAAATCATCAATTTTGTAAAATGCCACCAATAGATTATGCCAGAGTCTTGTTAATTACTGCTCGTGAACAATAACAGAAATCAGCATTATTAGCAAACATTTTTTTATTCAGGGTTCTGATACATTCTGTATCATGTTTCATGTTTTAAAACTTAGCTTTCCTTGTGTTAGTAAAGCAAAGGGAAAACTTTGATTTTTTTGTTTAACCCTTCATTATAGAAGCAATAACAAATGAATTCTGACAGCTTTTTATAGTGTAGGCGTTCAAAAGCATTCAGAAACTTAAAGGCCATTGAGAATTAGTTACCTTAATATGAAAATAGAAGGATATATATCACACATGTCAGTGTAAGAATTATCTGATAAAATTTCATAGAATTCTCACTCAGCTCGGTGTGGAAAATGTAGTAATATTTCACTGCCATCCAGTTCATATGGAGACATACAGCTGTGGAACCCTACAAATCATTTCTTCCTTCAGAATAAATGTGTTTCTGTTGAACTCTATTACTCAGTGGAATTCACATTGCAGGAAAAGAAAGCCATTGTAGGAAAAAACTGTAGGCTGAAAAGATGACTCAGCTTAAAAATATTGTTTTCACAAATTCCTTCTCTTTTCTCAAATATATGCCAGATTCTGTTTAACACATCCATTTTTAGAGTTATCTGCTAATGTTCTTAAAAGACCTCTCTTATCTGGTTTCTGAACATTCTAACTACTAACAACGGTTTCATAGAACTACTTCCAGAAAGCTTCACTATATTCACTTAGACTTTCTTCCTGTATATTACAGATTTCAAATTCCAGTCATTTAAATTTCTCCTGAGCCCAAAGTCTTATATTTAGCCAAAGTTTAACTCCGTCGTTTCCGTTTTCCATATTAGTTAAGCTCACTTTCTTGACTTCTCTGAGAGATCAGCATGTGATCACTGTCCTGTTGAACCTCACATACCATGGTTGTATATTGTTTCAAAAGAAACAAAAATGAAATAGACAATATCACCTACTTTTTTTCTTGACATCTTTTGAGCAAGAGAGCTTTTGAGTAAAAAAGTGATGATATAGTACACGAATCCTAACCCTTTTCTTATTTGACAAAACCTTGAAAAAACTTTATCCTGTTGAGGAAATCCAATCTTTCCTGTTGATTGCAGGACCAGTGATTTTCCTTACTTTCCTTGTCAGTGTATTCAGTGGGTGAAGTAAGGAACATTAGTGTCAGGGTCATCAAAGGAATGCACATTAGGGCGCCCTGTGAAGTGAGGGAAGATTCAAAGAAAAAGACTTTCCTTCACCAGAGTGTATACAGAATCAGAAGGGATCAGCCTCTTGGCAATGCATTTCAGAAATGGATTATAGAAGCTACAGAATTATAAATCTGTCTTACTTGTTACACAGTTTGGAGCAAAGACTTTAAGAGATCTGGAGCAGAATACTTTCAAGTCAATGTTACCACAACATACTTGTTAAAATAAACTATTTGTTTTAGTTCTCTTATAGTTCCGTTATGTTCCTGCTCTCCCCCTTCCTTTCAAGTGCTTAAGGGATCCCTTTCCCATGACGTTGTTATGAAAGGAAAGAGAGATGTTTTTGCCATGAGAAATGAAATATGTTCCTTAAAAAAAATGGCGATGGACATGTTTTCTTTGAGAAAGGGAATTCACCTAGGCTTCAATCTTGAAATTTAATTTTAGTAAAGTTGCTGAAAGACTTTGTAGTCGCTTCTCCTTTTCATAAATAGTGAGAAGTCCAGAACTTAGCAGGTGCTTTAATAAAAGTGTCTGAACTAACATAGACATTACGACTCAAATACAAGCAGAAGATGCATCAAGAAAAAGCTCATTAGCTACAGAGAAAATCAGTGTGCATTATTTACGTGGTACTAAACAAGAAAACATATATATATATATATACATATATTTAAAACATTTAAAAATATACATACTCATGTATGTATTTGAATATGATTCCATTTAAATCATTTGGTTAAATGGCCTTATACATGTTTCATCCTGAGTGAAGAGTTTTAAAACCTAACAGAAAGACAAAAGGTCACAAGAGAAAATTTATTCGCATCCTCTTACTGCTTCAATTTTTGACAGATAATTTAAATGCTTTTGAGCATAAATATCAACTTTTGTGGGACGTATTTTTCTGTCTATTTTTATTTTAGGTTAAAGAAATAATCCTGGCTAAGCAAAAATCATCAACTTCAGTCAAACCATCTGACAGCAACACGATGTACAGAAAAAGTACAAGGTAATTCCTTTTTTTCTTTTCCATTAATTTTAATTTTTGTACTTAAGTTATTCAATTGCCAGAGTATTTGCTTCCTATTGAGTATCTTATTGTTAAAAGTACGAAAATATTCATTTGTGTAGGTTACAACACTGTATAAAAACCTTAGACTAATAGCCTGTCTGGTGCTGTTTATAAAATGGTCTGCTCCAATAGCAGAGCCAAAAAAGCACTTAATTCTGCATATCAGTTTTGTTCCATCAACTCATTCAAATTATTGAAATAGTGCACGCTAAAACTATACTACCTACTGGGAGTTGTCTCTGCACAACTTCTTGTTGTGTAGCCTCTCAAAACCATTTAGAAAAAAAGAGGTTTTGAATCTTTCTCATGAATGTATTTGCTCACTGATAGCGTGAGTATACACGTTGAGGTACTGCACTAAGTAGCTTCAGAAAGCAATTCTGCAAGGTTTTTGTTTTCCTGGGGTGCATTAAAAAGAACATTTGCAGCAGCTCAAAAGAGATTCTGCTCCCCTTCTCCTCTGCCCTGGTGAAGCCACAACTGGAGCACTGTGTTCAGTTCTGGGCTCCTCCGTTCAAAAAAGTCAGAGATTTCCCAGAGAAAGTCCAACTAATACATCAGTCTGGTTCAATGGCAGTGGCTGCAATTCTTAGTGAGGTTTCAAAATGTTCATCAGAGATTTTTGATGAAATTTTCCTCCTCCTGTACTGCATCCTTGAAAACAGTTGCTTGCAAATGTGTGTATTGCCAAAAAGGGGTGATACAAATAAGGCATGACTGTGAAGTGAGGACATGTTTTTCTCTGGTAAAACAGGGCTTGTAAAAGTAAAGGGACACAGTCAGATTTCTGAGTTGAATCTCTGGACTTTGTATGGCTAATGAATGAAAATGCATACAATTATTTGCCATAACTTGTGCCGGCACTGCACTGTGCCCTCCCTGTGCCCTGGCTGCAGCTCAGACAGAGTTAATAGCACACCTACAGTTGGCTGTTGCTGAGCAATGGGTTGCTTACAGGGTTGGGCCAGACGGCTTGTTGTGGCACAGCCACTGTGCTAGCCTCATGTTGCTCATGGGACATGGGTTGGTTATGCCTGGACTACATGATCTCCAGAGGTCCCTTCCAACCGCTGTGATTCTGTGGTTATGCAACATAGGTTCATTCTATTACATGTGCCATAAACTCTAGCTCTTAAACTCCTTCAGATAGTAGTTAATGACTGCTGGAAGCTAGCAAATATCAGGGATATGCTATGATTTTTTCTCTTACCACGTGTTGATAACCATTAGAGCAGATAGACACAGGGGTTGATGGCCACATGGCCTTACTAAATACAGACATTTTGATGTATGTTACTGTATTTTGCTTTTCCTCTTGTTGCAGGCAACAATATTCATACCGTTGTGAGATATGGTAACTGCAAAGTTTGTTAAGCAGCTTATTTGTACCAAAAGTGTTGTATTTCCTTGTTTGGCTTTGTTGTGGTACACACTGGTAGAAAGGCTAGGCAGACAGTAGAGGTTATCATTATGGATCATGTCTGTTCTTGGTCTCAGTATTTAGGATGCTGGCCAAATGGCACTGCAAGTGTCTCATGTTGTTTTTCCTGCTTTTTGTTTCTTAATTTTAATAAGGATTGTTTTTGTCTTCTTTTCTTGACTGGCCTGCCTAGCGAAAAGACAATAAGATGACTGCAAGAATTTGTTGACATCCCAGATGAGACACAACTACTGTACCCTTTCCTTAGGCAGCTGTGATTACTACAGTTCACCTTCTTAATTACTGAGTATTTCAATTATTTTTTAAAAGATGGGCTTTCCATGGTTCTTTCCAGCAGAAGCAGAAGCTACAGCCTTTGAACATTAAAATAAATCAGTTAAAAGAAATGTATTAACTGTTCTCTAGGAGAAAATCAGATCTTCCTACTTTAGATACACAACCTCTCTTCTAAATGGATTCTTCCAAACAGCAAAGAGCTGGCAACTAGTGGGTTGCTAATACGTATTTCCTTAGAACACTCCAAAAGGAAGTGTCTGAAGACTAATAATGAAGCAGGCCCCCTTTCCAGCCAAGAGGTGAACTAAAGGTACTCCATGGCAAAGTGCAAGGAGTTTTTAGATTTCAGTCCACTTTTAAGTAATTATTAAAATATTTACTGAGGATTTTGAAGGAAAAAATGCAGTTTTTAGTGTTAAAATATTTCAGGAGTGCAAATCACAAAAGGAGAATTAGGAAAGAGGCATTTTGAATTACAGCTCTTTCTAAAAATACTAGGTTTTGACCTCTGAATTTGAAAAATTGCTGACTAGCCAGATGTTAAAAACTTGCTGAATAGTTGTCTCTTAGATTACGGAAGAAATTCATTACAGTGATCACACTTGACAGATACAGATGTCTAAGCTAAATTCTGTCAGACATAATCTGCTAAACTATAATACAGTGCTTTAAATTTCTTAACTCATTAGCTGTATTATATGATGATGCTCACTACTTCTGCCACATTCTATGACTGTATACAAAACTGTATTTCAAACCTTCAAAGAGATAAGGTATTTTAGCAGGAATTTGGTTTCTTGATTTATTATACTTATAGAACATCTACTGATAAAGCAGCTGCATCTGTCAGGCTTAACTGTTAGTGGCGTCAGAATTTATGAGGAAAAGAAGCTGAATTTGCCATTGGTACATAGGTGAAATTTACGTAGGTAGGAACTTACTTTTCTCAAATTATACTGGAAATTTAACAGTAGCAGATACATAAACCTAATGACTCTTATCCCATACACTCAGCTTTAGACTGTTCCTCCTATATCATATTGGAAAAGAAAAAAATAGAAAATGGGAAACATCTCTAAATGTTAATATACACTGTTGCTGTTTGATCTGGCAGGCAGCTCAGCACCACCCAAGCTGTTCCCAAGAGGAGGGAATTGGAAACAAAATAGAACTCATGGGTTGAGATAAAAGCTATTTACTAAGACAGGAACAGAAAATGAAAACAAAAAATGCATTCTAATTTGAATCCTTGAAAGAATCTTTGCCAAGTGTAGGACTATTCTCCTGTCCACCAATTGATTAGCTGAGGATCTCTCCCAGCACACTTCTGCAGTTTGCAGAAAGAGATGAGAATTTAATGTTGCAGAAAGGAATACCATAGAACAAAATGACTAATTTCCAAACTGGAAATGTGAAGTAAGATGAGGGTAGAAGTTTTATGAAGCTGTAGACAAACTAACCTGAAGGAACTGCAAGCAGATTTTATGCAGTTTTTCAAAACTCAAATTCACCTTCATTTCTGCTCCTAAATCAGGAATGAACATTTTAACTAAAAGACAGGTAAGTGCAACTGAAACGTGGCCTACACAAAAGATGAATAAATGTGTGGCAAGATCACAATTGGCAAATCAGTTATCAGTTCTACTGAGATGTCATGAGTGCCTTCTACAAGACCTAGGAGTTGATCACAGATCTAGCCAGTTGAATGGATTTGCAAAAATAATCTTTTTGGGCTACATAGATTGATATCTTTTATGAAGATACTGAGAATTCCTGCTCTCAAAGCAAGTTACATTGTCTGAAATAGGAGAAAACATAGAAGTAGTAGTTCAACTGACTTTAAACAGAAACTAGATCAGGTCTGACTAAGAAACATTTTTAAAAGGCTTTTTTTCACTGTGAAGCGTAAAGCATAGATTGAATTGCATTCTCATGGATGCCCAGAGCTAACCAAAATATGCAGTATACACCTCTATCTTTTGACTAACAGAGGAAAAAAATGTCGGGCGCCTAAGAAATGATTTGAAAATTAATTTGCTCACACATGTGTCTAATAATCCATAGTTGTATAAGGGCAAGGACAACTTGGAAAATTCTCAAAAATACTGTTTAGTTAGTTCTTGAGCTTTAAAATCTAAAATCATCTCAAAATGTACGTATGTGATAAGGATAAAAGACTCAGAGCATAGACATACTTAACAGTGTTTTCCATAGAATCATAGAATGGCCTAGGTTGAAAAGAACCATGAAGATCATCTAGTTTGAACCCCCTTGCTATGAGCATTATTTATATAACGTTTCAGTACTTTTTAAGTGAGGTCTTAACAGTTTGTTAGAATGAAGTGTTTTCAGTAGAAGCTTCCCCGATGTTTAAACAGGACTCAGCTTTGACTAACAAATTTAGCAGTGCTTTTTGTTTTTCTGGGATAATTAAGATGCAAAAATGTGGTTTAAGATGGATTTGTATATTGAACATATTGGAGCGTGTTTCTTACTAACAGGCAAGGTCAGTTTAATATTGTGAAGTGACTGTGAAAAGAAAGGTAAGGGACAGAACTGTGAAGCTGAAACTTGGATTGGTTCTCCAGAGCTGTTGGTCATACTTTGTAAATATCATTGCAAATGCTGATGCAAGAAAGGAAACTTTCAGTCAAATGCCAGTGTATTTTCTGGATCACGAGTATGAGAAATCTTTGGCAATCCAAACTTTTATTGAAATTCAGAAGTTGAAGCAAGAAAATGTAACTGTCAAATCATTAAAATATCAAATGTTGGAATTAAGAACGGTATGAACAAAAGTGTAAATTATAAAAAACCCCCTCAAATTATCAGAGTTGTGCTCTGTCACACACCAGATTGATCAGCAGGCTGCTATAGTTATGCAAAATTGAAGGACTGACTGTCATTTCTTTATTGTGAAATCTTTTTCTTTTTTGAAGAATCTTTCAACTATATAGAGATAGAAATAACCTTTCTAAGGGAAAGAAATGCCAGGGAAAAAAAAATCACTTGATATTATTTATTTTGATGATCTAATCTGTAGATCATCATTCTTGCTTGGGTAGAGACCACTCAACAGCAGGTAGCAGTGCCTGAAATTGGAATCATTTGTGAACACTGAGGCTGATAGATATATTGTAGTTGGTCTTACTGTCTTCATCACTATTTTACCACTGTTTATGAAAAAGCATTAGCAACAAGAATAGTTTTTACTCTCCTAGGCAGAAAATCTTTGCATTCCTTCTTCCAGAATTTTTCAGATAGTCATGACATCATCAGTAGTCATACCATTTTTTCCATAGAAGCGTGATGGGAAGAGCGCATTTCCAGGAGATGTGCAATGGCAGTTCTGAAGTTAATGCTTCCTATTTTATTATGTTGGCCCACGATATCAGAGGCAGATGTGGGTGGTATGGCGGTAGAGGTTGAATCATCCCAGCAATATTCTGTTACATTTTGTGGCACCAACTGAAATTAATTGATATTTGCTGAATATTTACAGAGACCAAACAGTGGATGTGAGCACTGTGAGGCAGTGGGTGGTGCATTTCAGCAGTGGCAACAATGACATGAGACACAAATCATGTTCTGGATGACCATGGAGATATTTATGAATGCAACATGAAGGATCTTGTTCGTAGCTGATGAAAATTCACAGCTAATGGTGGTGACTGTGTCTCGAAGCTGAGAGATTGCTCTGTCAAATAGTGTTATTGTGCTCTTTGTATCTGTTGTAGTTTCCATGGAAATAAATAGGAAACAATAATTTCAGAGTGACTTGTGTGTATGTGTCATATATGCACTGAATTCAGCATGATTAAGGCTTGTCATCGTCCAAACATTTCTTTTATGATAGCTGAGGGAGTAACGTGAGCTGTACTAAAGAAGTACAGAATATCTGACCTGTGATGATTCTCAGTCTTTCCTATTGTCCTTGCTAATCCTAGGTAACACTTGCTGATTAAATTTTGAGAATGACTGGTGACAAGCTTGTTGATGTGGACTGTTACTTATGATGCAGTTAATTGTTTTTTGGTGTATTGAAGTTTATTCATCTACTAAGCAATGAATTATTCAAAATCCATAATGTTGATTGTATTTTCATGACTAGCAATTTGTACAATTTTAGAACAAATGCAAATTACCAGTAATAATTGAAATAAATCAAATCAAGGTAAATCTTTTCTACCATGTGAGTGAAGTACATGCTGAGGCTGATTAAATTTAATATTTATGCTTTTTTACTTTTTTTCTGAGATGCCTTCAAATTAGCGACTTGTCATTAGTGATTATATTAATTTTCTAGACAGGAAAAAAAAAGAAAAAGGTGTTCTTTTTAGAATCCCCCAGTGGCTACTTATAAAATCCTTCAAAGTGACAGCACTTTTCACAAATCACAGAGGAAACAGAACTGTTTCTTAACTCTAAGGAATGAACATTTTCTGGAATGTTGCCACAGAATTTTGTGTCATTAAACTGTTTAGTTTAATTAAAAATCTAGCCTCAAAAATGGAAGAACATTCAGAGTAAAGAAATGACAATTTTCTTGTATCTTTCCTCGTAACATATTTTCTCAGTGGCTTTTGTTTTCATCGCTTGTGGGAAAAGATTATTCTGATTATTAAGAGGTAGGCTTCTCTGGACATTTCCTGCTCAGCAAAATGGGCAAAAAATTCCCTTAGAACAAGAAAATTCTAGTGGCATAATGCTGAAAGAGGTGGCTAATCTGACTATTACTCTTCTGTTAGTCATGTTTTCCTTGGCCCTAGCATAAGTGAAGAAACCTGCCTCTTCATTTCTCTGTAAGTTGGGCAGGGATCTGACACACAGGCATGGCCTGGGAGACTAATGAAGAAGCATGGGCAGACTTTGGAAGCTTCTTCACAAAACCTCGCTTTTTAAAAACTGAAGATGATGTATTTCAGATTAAAGATCTTCTTATATACTTTATTTACATACTTTCATTACCTAATTTGTCATCAAAGTAAAGCATTTTTTTCAACCAGTAACCTTGCTACATTTTCCTTTGTTCTAGTCTTAGTAAACCTTTCTGATCTCCTGGGTAAACAAGGAGTTTTCTCACATCTTGTAATGTACTGTCTTTTGTAATGTTTAGCTTGGAACTTTGACCCAAAGTAGTCCTTAGTGTAATAGTAAAATCAGTACGAAGATAAACAAACCATGCTGGAATTTTCAGAAATTAGATCATCAGACAATGAAATTCCCATTTTGCCTTTTTTTAAAAAGACAGACTTTGCAAGACAAAGTATATTTCAAGTCTTTGATCATCATGTGGTGTTGTTTGGTTGCCTTAATGAGTGGACTGTCCTCATCTGCAAGTGTAATCTAAAACAATTTCCTTAATAGTGGTTGAATCTGGAGATTCTTTTGTACTTCTGGCCTTTCTTATACTATCTTTTTTTCATAATACAAACATTGCTAGTATTTCCACTAACAAAACCTACGAATTAGCTAATATAAGCACGCAAATTAGTACAATTACATTTTCTGTCTAATTAAAGGAGTATTTCTGCTTTCCAAAGATACATTTGTCATCCTATAACTAATAATCACCTTGTGTGATAACAGTGAACAGAAGGATGAAGGAACAGTTATGATTGTAAAATCCTGTCTTACTTCAGAAGCCAGTCACTTAAAATATGACACCAGCAATCTTCATGTCCTGATATTAGACAAATTACAGATGCCAACAAATTAACTATCAGTGTTTATTTTTGTAAGATAGAGATTCTGTTGTAAAAAATAGTGAAGATTTAGCTGTACTTTTGTAGTACTCATTGTTCACACTGAGTTTTTGTAACGAACAATTTTCAAGTAATAAGGACTTTTAATCCTCATTTAATTGGGCTCAGTAACAACTCTCACAATGAAGTCATTAAGTTTAATAACAGGTATCCAAAACAGTGCTGTTATATTTGACCCTGAAATGAAGGTTTTTTTTTTTTTGTTTCCCTCTTGTTTCAGAAGCAAACCAGTTGAGAAATTAGAAGTGGATCCTGACAAGTATTCATTCCCAGATGTGACAAAGATAATCCCAGAAAAGGAACAAATTGGACGAGGACCTATTAAGCTACAGCCAGAGAAGATTACAGAGACAGTGAAAAGCAATGTTGATTTTGAAAATAATGAAGAAGTACCTCCCTTAATTTGAAAGATTCTTTATTAGTCTCTCTGTTTGTAGTCTGTATACCTGAGTTGTTTTCATGATCTGATGCGTAGAGTAAGTATTATCTGGCTGAAGCTGGAAATGTCATTACAGTTCTTGCCATAAACTTTGTTGTACTTCTGTATTCTGGTGTATTTTCTGTAAGTATATTGCTTATATAATTTTTTTTCTTTTCTAGGTTGTTTACTCTGTAAAGCCCAAATGAGAATGGGGGTCAAAGAGTCACATATTGTCAGGTTTTTTTTTCTGAAGAATTACTGTTTAGCTTAAAAGGGCAGCAAGGCTTGTGAAGGACTTGAAGAATATGGCCTGTGAGGAGAGACTGAAGGAACTGGGGCTGTTTAGTCTGGGGAAAAGAAGGCTGAGGGGAAACCTTATTGCTCTCTTCCAATATCTGAAAGGTGCTTACAGCGAGAGCAGGGCTGGTCTGTTCTCAGTGGTGACAGGATGAGGGGAAATGGCCTCAAGTTGCACCAGGGTAAGTTTAGGTTTGATGTCAGGAAAAACTTCTTTACAGAAAGGGTTGTTAAGCACTGGAATAGGCTCCCCAGGGACGTGGTTGAGTCACCATCCCTGGATGTGTTTAAAAACCGTCTGGATGTGATGCTCAGGGACATGATTTAGTGGAGGGCTGTTAGAGTTAGGATAGTATGGTTAGGTTGTGGTTGGACTCAATGATCTTTAAGGTCTTTTCCAATCTGAGTGATTCTATAATTCTGTGGATTATTATTGAAAAAGAAAAGAGAAGGAAGGAAAAACAAGACAAGAATTATGTTTATTCTGACTGAACTAAAGATAGTAGAAAAATCTGTGTATTCTTCCAGTGCTTTCATTTTCATGAAGAACAGCACTAAAAGAATGTGATGTATTCTGGGAGTGAGAGACATTGCTTTACTCTGCCATACGTGAATTTCCCAGCATAATACAGAGCTCCTACATCCTGGAGTTGGTATACTGGTGCCACTCCTTGAAAATGTTGGAAGAGAAGGTATCTCAGACACGTGGCACTGTGGGGGAGATGACAGAAAACAGTAAGATTTCTTGTTCCTCTAAATGCAGCTGCTCTGAACTGTTCCAGATTTTTCAGGCAGGCATCCTTTAAAATATCAAGGCTAATTTTTAGCTCTTGTTAGCATCGAGATGAAATAGGACTGTGAAGCTGGAATGAGATGAGCTTCTATTTCCCTAATTTTTTAGCCCATTTTTAGCAGCCACAGACTGCTATCGTATTTTTCCATCAGCTTCTGAATTGCCCTGGAAGTGAAACAAGTGGCATCAAAGAATGAATGTATTCTGAATTACCATTTCATAACTGAAAATTATTGCAGTTAAGTAAGACCAAATTTCCTTTTTCCCTCTCTGTTTTCCCAAGAAAACGAGGTTCATGTCATTCTTATCTCAGTTCTGCTTTCAAAAGTAATTTTGGTTATTTTTACCCTGTTTAACAGAAAAGAAGAATCACAGAAATATTCAGCTCCTCTGAAGTTAGTGAAAATGGCCACTGGGAAGAGAGAACTTAGGAATTATTAACTCTGTTAGTAGTCACTCAGCTAATCACTATGTCAGTAGCTCTTTGGGCATGTTAACACTCTTGTTGGGCGGTAGTTAGAGGAAGGAGTGAATGATGATGGTGATGAGGCTCTGGAAACCTGAGGGGAAGCTGATGGGTGTGGGATGTATTTACAAAATAACCTTAGACCTTGAGTTGCTATGGAAAGAGATGTTAGATACTGAGTAGACAAAGGAATTTTGCGGAAGGAGGGTCACAGCAAGTATTACAAGGTTGGGTTGTTGGTGAAATGTGAGAAATGGGGGACAATATGACATCAAATCAGGGGAAATCGAGCCTCATTAACTCTGTTGTCTATAAAACAATTGATTTCAGGATGTATGTGCCCGAATGCCTCTTCTGATCTTTTAGTAGGGAAACTAGCATTTAAACAACTTTTTTTTTTTAAAAAAAAAGTTTTCAGACCAAGTTTAAAACAAACAAACAAACAAAACAAACAAACAAATAAACAAAAAAAAAGAGAAACTCCAACCAAAAAAACAAATTAAGTGATCTACATTACCTTACTAGTTCATTTGAAACTGTTTCTCTGTAAAGGAAGACTTCTTTGGCCCTGCAGAAAGAAAATGCTTGTGATTCAAAACAGCTTTTACTTCTAGCCAAACGGGATGCAGCAAGCAAATTAAACTCAGGAAGTGTCAAAGGGTGTTTTGTGGTTAGATTTTATTTTTGTCTTTAAAATAGAAAATTAATAAGATGTATTTGTAACCAAACCACTAAAATGCCACTTAAGGTATGTTGTTAAGTAGCAGTCTAGGCTCATGTAGTACCCATAATAATGGTCAGTGCATTTCATGATATATATTCTTTGATATATTCTTTGAAAGTGGCCTCCCTTTTACTTAGAAAAACATAATGCAAAAAAATGCAGTGGTTAGAAAGAAAGCATTACAATTGAATTCTGCCTTTTTTAGCCTCTCTGAAATGCTTTATGGTTCTTCATAGATGTTTAATGGAAGATAAAGATGAATAGCCTTCTTTTAAAGTGTACTGGAAAGAAATAGAATATATCCATCGACTCAGGCTGATGGGTTGAACTGATGCATTTTCTTCAGTTGCAACCTGAGAAGGTTAAAAAAAAAATTGAGTTTTATAGTAACTCTGCATACACAGAGAGATGAAAAGAAAATGTATATATCACAAAGATATTCACCAAAGTTGGATTTGGACAGACTCGATCTATTATAGAATCATCTTGGATTATTCTTTTCCCATCTTGTACATTACTTGAGTTTTTCCAGTTCCTGAGAAAATTCATTCATGATGTAAGACTCTCAGCCCTGGAATCTAATTAATTAGCTATACCCTGGTAACTGGAGTACTAAATACTGGTGCCATCTTATGCAAATGTGTATGTGTAGCAGGGGAACAGTCAAGTCTAATAGAGTTTACAGCAGTCTGATAGGCAATTTATCTTCTGATTTCTTTCAAATCTTCTCTGTTCTTTGTATGTAAAGGGGTGAATTTTGCTGACCTTGGGATGGGTGAGGAAGAGAAGCTCCACAACCATTTTGTGGACAGAAAACAGTTGATTTTGGCAACAGATCCAAAAAATGTCTTCCTTGTAGCTTTATTGATTGTTGTGGGGATTTTATGATGTTTCCAGGAGATGCTTATCTCTGAAAATCTTGTAGGGACAATCCACAATACAGACTTCCAGGCAATGATGAGCCTTGTGAGCTTTAGGAGTCATGGAAAGCAAGCATCCATACAACTTGGTCATATAAGATCATTTCATTTTTCCTAAGGAAAATTTGACCCTTGCTGTCAAACCAAAGGATAACAGAATTAGATTTTTTTCCCATTCAGACTTAGTTTTCTTTCATCTGGTTTCTAGTGGATAAATAATATTGTTTCAGGGGAAAAAAACCAAAATACGTTTAACTTATATGCAACTTCACTTACATCTCCTAGGAAAGGTAATAGCAGGTACCAAACATAACTAGAACTAAAAAGAACGAGTTCTTACATATAGGTTGCCATAATCTTGGTATCCAGTCTGAAAATGAGATGTTTTCTGAGAAACAGCCTTGGTTGAAAGTTTCAGTGTGTGCATGGGCCATGGAGAATGCAGGCAGCAGGTAACAGCGGAGGAAAGTGTACAAGCACAAGATGAGGCCTGTCACACTGTGCACAATAAACACACATCACAAAGCATCAGCTACTGATCACTAGGGTCATGCAACCTAGTGCTTTCTTCAAAACCGCAGAATGGGATGCAAGTTTTGAATTTACTACGTCAGAAGAGAATTTTGTTGATGCACAGGACATTAGCCTATTTCCTTTAGAAGGAATTGTAGAAAGCAGTGGCCATAGGATACTTTTGCAATAGAGATCGGAAGTATTTGCAGGGCTAGCACACGCATAATATCCATGTACTGCATGGAGCTGTTGAAAAGCATCTTTTCACACAAAGATGTAGTATCATGTTTGTTATCAGAAACTAATCACAGCAGCTGACATCGATCCATCAATCTACTTTTATGTACTGCTTTTGGAGACTGTTGAGCTTTGGCATGAACGCTGCACAACCATTGGATTGAGAATTTTCCAACAGTTTCTTGTGTCTGTGTGCTAGAATGCCAAATCTTTGCTCCCAAAAATATAAGGTAGCTGGATAGCAGTTGTATGACCCATTACCCAACACTCCAGCAATTCCTGTTATTGTTTAATCATAAATGATTTCATAATAGTTAAATTTCTTCTGGTACAGAATCATTAGCAACAAGTCAAAGCTTACTGTTCTCATTCACACCATGTTACTGATTTGGTATACAACTGTCTCCCTCCACTTCTGATACACTTGTGAAGTGTATAAGAAAAATCTTGGCAAAACTGAAAGCCAGGAAAGCACCTTACAAATTATTGTGGATGAAAAGCAAGGCATCATTTTAGAAAATAGAGCTTACTCTGAGAGTGACAGTATGTTTTGTGTTTGCACAAGGAAAAATGACCAAACAGACCATGACCAAATAGTGGTAGAGCTATTAGTTATGAGCTGCTATTAGTTGCACAATCATGCATTGAAACCAGCCAGTATTTGGGATTATTGGGAACTGTCTGACTGGGATCTCTCTGATGTAGGCTGTACCAACAGTTCTTGCACCAAACATCTTACAGTCAAAGCATTATTAGAGGCACATACATAAGGCCACAAAACTGTTTACTGTACTGTCTTCAAATTTTTATGAATTAGCTAAGCTAGTTTTAAGACTTATTAACATTAGAAAGAGCATAGAAGAAATAAAAATAATATCCCCCGCTGATGCAACTGTTGGACATGTTACTTCTGTTCCTTCTTTCTTTTAACATAAAGTCAGACAGATTGGACATAGCCACTTCTGCTTTTCTGCCTAACAGGCCCTTTCTCTGCCCAGGGAACCATCCATTGAGGCCTTAAGCACCTTCAGGAATGGGACATCCACAACTTCTGAGGGCAACCTCTATCACCCTCTAAGTGAAAACTTTCCACCTAA